TTCTTCTTGTTCTTCCTCTTCCTCCTCTTCCTTCTTCTCTTTTTCCTCCTCTTCTTCCTTCTCTTCTTCCTCCTCCTCTTCCTTCTTCTTCTTTTTCCTTCTGGCACTACTGGATATTGAACTCAGCACCTTTGACTGCTCAAGCTACACATTCTACCGTTTGACTTTGTTTTCCAGGGTCTTGTGCTTTTGACTGTATACGCAGTACCTGGGACACTGCCTAATGGATTAAAATGCTCAATATTGCTTAATGAACAAATACAGTATTGTTTATCTCAGGTATTATATATAGGAGGATCTAACAAGTGGTTAATGAAATTACTGAAAAAATTAGCTGTGCTTGAGGAGAATACGTTAGAAACTTTTTAATGCCTTCATCCCAAGAAGTGAATTTTGATTAAAAAAAATCATCATCTGCATTCTGGATTCTTGGAGAATATGGCCAATGGACACCAAGATTTTTGTCATTAGTCTTTTTTTCTGACCCATTTAAAAGTTGCAGAGTCATCTCAGTTCTAGTAAATACTTCAGCATGCATCTATCACTCACCAAGCCACACAAGAACATTCCTCCACAAAACTACAGTGCAAACATCCACAGAAGGAAATCACCACTGATAAGATAGGCCATACAGTCTACAGAACTCATTCGATTTCTGCCAACTGTTTGCTTTTGCTTTCTAGTCCAGGAGCCAATATTCAGGATCATTTGCTGTCATGTCTCTGGGGTCTTTTCAACTTACAGCAGTGAGTTTTATCCCTCTTGGTTTTTTACGGGCTTGAGATTGGGAGAGAGTACACACCCTCCATCCTGTAGGCTGTCTCTGCCCCTGTATTTATACGGGGTTTCCTTGTGTGCATGGTCAGGCCATGTATGGCCAGCGGGGATGTGGCAGAAGTGGTGCTGCGAAATCAGTGCATTTCTCTGAGAAACACAAGGCCTGCTCATCCCATGTGGCGTGGTGATGTTCACCACCATCACCAGTCAACTTGGTGTCTTCCATGTATCTGCAATAAGTTCACCATCTTCCCCCTTGTAATCAATACACATTTTTCAAAAGATATTTCAAGATGAGATTAACATCTTGCTTAACAAATACCCCCTCCCCCCACCTTACTTTTCATTGAGAACTCTTATCTGAACAAAACAATAAATTCTCCAAGGGTGACTTTCTCTTGTCCCCCCTATTGGGTGGTATTTCTGTCACTAGGGATGATCAGAATTCTTCCCTACTTATTTATTCCACCACTTCTTTATATTAGTACAGATTCATCTCTCATATAATCAGTCAGTAACTATCATTACTTATTTTGATACTGAAATTGTCCTTGGATTTGAGCCCATGGCTCCTGTGTCATTTTGACATTTCCCATCATGCTTTGAGTACAACCGTACCAGGATTCCAGAATCCTTTCTCATGTCTAGCCCTAGACTCAGCCATGGTTCCTTTTATCAGAGATGGCACATAGAAATCTGGCTACTTGATAAACTTTGTACTTCTCATCTCTGAAGGGGAGAATTACAGCATATATATGTATATACATACATATATGCACATGCCACTCACACATGCACATGTAGTTTTCATATTTCTTATTTACTTTTGTAATTTTTTACAGGTTATTATGGAATCTTGGTTATAAAAGAATTCTGAGAACTTAGATTTTTTTTTTTGCTGGTCCTGGGACTTGAACCCAGGGCCTGGGTGCTGTCTCTAAGCTTCTTTGTGCTTTTTAAAGCTAGTGCTCCACCACTTGAGCCACAGCTCCACTTCTGGCTTTTTTTCTGACTAGTTTATTGAAGATTAAGAATCTCATGGCCTTTTCTGCCCAGGCTGGCTTTGAACTGCAGAGCCTCAGATTTCAGCCTCCTGAGCAGCTAGGATTATACATGTGTGTTACCAGCACCTGGTGACTTAGGTCTTTTTTAACCTAAAAAAGAACGTTGAGACACACTTTCAAACTTTGGAAAGAATGGAAAATTTAACTCCATGCTGTCTGCCCTGACACTGGATGGGTTATGACATCATAATTCAGGATCCAGTGCTCTCGGTGGGATTGTTGTGGTGTCTCTCTTTTCTGTTTTGAAAGTGTATCCAGTGTATCCTATGTTACATGCTTTTTTTTTTAAATGGGATTTCATACTCACTTTTAATCTAATTCAATGCCTTGTATTTTCTTAAAATAACTTTCTTTTCATCTTTATAAATTCCACCTCCAACAGAAAAAAATGTGGCTACCATTTTACTTAATATTGTACTTATTTATCTCAAAGTCCTATGAAATACCAGTCTCCTAGGCACGATGCTGCCTCCTAGTCTTGTATCACCTCAGCCCCAATTTAAAAACATTTTTTTCCAAGGGAAGGAAAGGGAAGAGGCAGTCACCACTCTCTTTTTAAACAAATACGTTCATTTGTTTTCACTAAATAGTTGTACAAAGGGATTTCAATTCCCAAAGTCAGGTTATGAGTACAATGTGTCTTGATCGATATCACCCCTTCCTCCACTCCCATCTTTCCCCATCCTATCTCTACCCCCAAGTTGCATAGTTCAATCTGTGCATTGAACCTATGACTGTAAGAGTCAGCATCATATACGTGTTGTTTTGGAGGGAGGAGGTGTGTGTGTGTGACGCGCGCACACACGAACACTGATCTTAGGGCTCAGGGCTTGGGTGCTGTCCCTCAGCAGTTTTGCTCAAGCCTAGCACTCTATCACTTGAGTCACAGCTCCACTTCCAGATTTTCTGGTGTTTAATTGGAGATGAGAATCTCACTTTCTGCCTAGGTTGGCTTTGAACCATAATCCTCAGCTCTTAGCCTCCTCTGAGTAGCTAGGATTATAGGCATGAAATGTCAGCAAGTCATATACTCTTAACTGACATTCCCCAAGTCTTGGAGCTAGATAAAAGTTGCTAAGAGATAAAGAGGTGAAAGGAACCACAGTGTGTGTCAGCATGGTTGAGCAGAATCTACTGAAGGCTTTGCAGACAGCAGTTTCCTTCCTCAGACCCTGGAGGTTCAGGGACCAGCAGCCTGGCAGTGCCACTTGTGCCTCCTTGGCGTTAGGCTATAAAAAGCACTGTCCCAATTGCCTAGAAGCCTATTTTCTAAAGTGGATAAGCTAGGAACACATACAAATCCAGCACACGCAAGGCTGCAGAGATAGGTTCTTCCAAGTTCTTGTGCCTGTTCTAATCTGGGTGCAGCTGGGCTCTTTCCCCTAGCTGCCGGCCGTTTGTACTGCTGTCTGTAAGAAGATGGCTGGTGGACACTCAGCAACAGAGCACTGCAGTACGCTTACTTAGCAAGGTCCCGCAGAAATGGGAGATTTATTATCATGGCTATGAATGCTCTGGCTGTCTGAAAGTCACTGGTGCATTTTTGGACACTGTTTTCCAGGTATTTCAGGTCAAGGAAGCCATGGAGGCTACATGTTCAATCTGTAAGAACCGTAGGCCGTGTCCCAGATTCCAGAACCCTGCTGGAGAGTGACTGTGTCCTCGCTGCAACTCTGGGCACAACTGGAGAACCGGCTTTACACAGTAATCCAAACAGACCTCCCCTGTGGGTTGACACGGTGCACCCTAGAAGCGGTCACGGGACCACAACAAACGGTGGAAAACGATCTCACCCAGCGTCTTGCCTTACAGAGTCAGACACACCATGCATAAGAAAACAAGTGCAGCCAGGCGCCGGCCACTCACGCTAGTAGGCCTAGCTCCTCAGGAAGCTGAGATCTGAGGATAGGGGTTCGAAGACCACCCAGGGCAAGAAAGTCCATGAGACTCTGATCTCCAGTTAGCCACCCAAAAAGCTAGAAGTGGAGCTGTGGCTTAAGTGGTAGAGAGCTAGCTTTGCATCCAGGCCCCGAGTTCAAGCCCTAGCACTGGCATGTAAAAGCGAGCAAACAACCGTTTGCTTCCAGGTGGAAGGGAATTCGGGCTTCCCTGGCGGAACACAGGCCATGCTGGGGTGACTAAGCCCAGCACCCAGGCGCGGTGCTGGGGGCGCTGCGCACGGGGTACCAGCTCCGACACTGCCCTGGCACAGTTGTCCACCTGAAGCTTGGTCCTAAACCGTGTCCCGGGAGTGGCTCTGGAAGGACCCACCAGCCTGCGAGGGGGTGGCACGGGTGGAGATGCACGGTGCTCCTGAACCGACACGTCGTGCAATAGCAAACCGACGCGCCTTCCTTCGTGAGGTGGGAACCTTCAGGAGCAAATCCGAGATACGGTGCGGTGTCGAAAGGCGCGGAAAGTTGTCCTCCTGGGGTCCCCCGGGAGCCGTTTTCCTTTTGCGCCCCCAACAGGTTGGGAATCCGCGCGAGGCCCGGCAGGGGTCGCTGCGGCCCGCGAGGCGCGGGGCGCCCGGCGCGCGGAGCCCGGGAGCTTTGACATCACACGAAGCTCCTCCTCGCACCCGCGCGCGCGCACACTCACACACACCGACACGCACGCCCGCGGGCCGCGCTCTCCTCTCGCTCCCCGAGCGCCGTCCCCTCCGACACAAGTGTGTCCCGGCTCCGCCAGGCCCGGAGCGCCTGCCGCCGCGGGAACCCGGGCGGGAGGCGGAGGCGGCGGCGGCGGCCGGGCAACCTGGGCAGCACCCGGGGACTGCGAGCCGCCGACCGCGGCCCGAGGGCCCGTTCCCGGGCGCCGCCTCCCCTATGAGAGCGGGGGCCGCCGGGCGCGGGGCTCCGCACGCCCGGGACGGGGCGTCCCCGGCCTCCCAGCCCCCGGCTCTCGCGGGGAGCGGGATGCAGCCGCCGCGCCAGGGCTGAGCGCGGGACGGGGGACGCGGACCGGGCCGGCGCCGTCCGCCCGCCGGGAGTCGGGTCCTCGGCGGCGGCCCCTCGGGCCCGGCGGGAGTGGAGCGGAGCCCCGAGCCCGCGCCCGCGCCCGCGCGCGAGGCCGGCCGGCCCGGGGTTGTGGGGACGGGGTTCCGGAGCCGGACGGACGCGCGTGGCCGGCGAGGGCGGCCGGCGGAGACAGGTGGCCATGTCTCTCGTGCAGGCGTGCCGCAGCCTGGCTCTCTCAACATGGCTGCTTTCCTTTTGTTTCGTGCATCTGCTGTGCCTGGACTTCACGGTGGCCGAGAAGGAGGAGTGGTACACGGCCTTCGTGAACATCACCTACGCCGAGCCCGGGCCGGGACCCGGGGCGGGCGGCGCGGAGCTGCGCTCGGAGCGCACCGAGTGCGGGCGCTACGGCGAGCACTCGCCCAAGCGCGACGCCCGCGGGGAGGTGGTCATGGCGCGCGCGGCGCACGAGCGCCTGGCCTGCGACCCCGCCACCGCCTTCGCCGCGCCCGCGCACGGCCGGCCCTGGATCGCGCTCATCCCCCGCGGCAACTGCACCTACCGGGACAAGATCCGCACCGCCTTCCTGCAGAACGCCTCGGCCGTGGTCATCTTCAACGTGGGCTCCAGCGCCAACGACACCATCACCATGCCCCACGCAGGTGAGCCGCGCGGGGCGGGGCGGGGCGGGGGGGGGTCCGGCGGGGCCCCGGGCGTGCGAGCTCCCCCCTCCCCGCCACCACCGAGTCCCCTGGGCTGGGTGCTGCGCCTCCGCGGGTCTGGGTACTCCGACCCAGCTAAGTTTTGCTTGGCATCCCCTGGGGGCTGGGAGTGAGCTCGGAGCGGGGGAAGGAGAGGACCGGAGTCACCGGGCTGGGGACCACACCCCCCTCCCGAGGTACAGGCAGGACCCTCCCCCATCCCCCTCCCTCCGTCTTGCCTGGCACCTGCTTGGGACGGGGAGATCCGATGACTTAGCTCCCCGCGCGCGCGCGCGCCCCTCCGCGTGCCCAACCCCCCCCCCCCCGACTCGGGCCTCTCTGTCTGGGTATCCGGACTCGGGGGAGGGTCCTCCGCTAACAGGTTACCTGCCAGTCCACGTTCCAGTGCTGTCCCCCCCCCCGCCCACTCCTGCTGGGTTAAAAGCGGGGTGCTCCACGGGGGGCCTCCACGGAGCCGGCCGGCTGCAAACCCCCGGTGCCCGGGCCTCCAAACTCCACACCACTCTCTTCCAGCGCGCGCTTTATCCGTGCCCGGCGGGAGAGGGTCTGACTGTGCTCTGTTTGGTTGTCTTCTTTCTGGCCAGGATGAGTGGTTTCTCTGACCTCAGGGATCTCAAGTGCAAAGACTAGAGATCCACTGCCACACCCCCAGAATTCAACCAGGTAGCTCTCCGTGTGGCACAGGAGCAGGGTCCCCGGGGCAGAAACAACAGCAGCCTACAAGCTGTGATCCTCCAGGCTTGTCAGCCAGAGCTGACAGAGTTCGCAGCCGAGGCTCCTTGAGTCCTGGAGAAATGTGGGGTGCCTGGGCTCCCAAGTTCCTGAGATGAGTCAAAGCATGACTTTACTTACAAAGCCAGAACATAATAAACAGGTTACTGACATGAAGCGCTACGCTTTGGCAATGTTCTCCTAGGAGACAGGTTTCCATTGTAAGAGAGTTCATGCCGCTTGTTAGGGAAATAGTCAGTGGATTTGCCTCTAGGAAGCAACATCAGCTGTTCTGGTCCAGGATCTCCTTAACCCTAACACAAACAGGTAAGGAGGAAAATTGAGGCTGAGAAAATGCAGGCCCAAAGAGTGCTGCGTGTTCACTGATGAAGGGAAGAGGCAGGTGGAAGTCTTTAAAAAGTTAGAGGACAGTACTTTAGAAGTATTTGACCTGTTTCCTGGAGCCCAACACTTTTCTAGGGGAAAATACTGTATTCTGATCTTGAGTAGGAGGCACACTGGTTGAACTTGATATCCACGAATGTGCGCTATGGAGATGTAGTGCGGGCAGTAAGTGGTGTAAAGTATCTTTACAGTAACCTTTCATATAGAAAAACTGGAGTCAGAGGATGGGGAGGGAGCTGTGCAGTTTTCCATGGATTCAGAAACTCCAAGGTAGTTCGCTGATTGCGGAATTCTTTAAGCAAGAGGTCTTCAGTTTAGCTTCTTTGCTCATGAACTAAGAGGCATTGCTTACCACTGTGTAAAAGAGGTTTTCCAGAACTGCCAGCAGCTTGGATCAATTGGGGGCTTGCCTGTTTTTAAAGAAAGCAAAGCTGATTTTTACACAAAGATGATGCTCCATGAAGACATTGCGAGAGTACAAGGTTTAATAAGAGTTAAAGGCCAAAAATATGTAAGGGAAATTACCTAATATCCAATAAGTCTTTGACTCCAAAAGTATGTTAATGCCGTACCTATTAATAGCTAGGAAACGTTGTTGTTGTTTTAAACATTTCCCCATATTAGTCAAAGACTGCCTTGAACTGCTCATCATGAAGGACATATGTGGATGGGGGCGTGGCAAACCGGTCACTGACTCTGAAATTCTTCCTGAGTCACAGGCAGGGCCAGTACTATTCTGTCAATGTCTTACACTTGTTCCAGAACTTGAAGGCTTTACTTTTTGTAGTTAAAACACGAGTCTACTTCAGGAAAGTACATGTGAGCTGCTCTCCACTCTTCTTGCTCTGTGCCTTTGGAATCTGATCTACCAGGGATCCTGTAGTTATGAATTTTAAATTCAGTTTCCAAGAAGATCTTTGGGGTCATGCCAAGGCTGACATGGCATCTTTTCTCCCATCTAGACAGGGCCTTGGGAACAGGTGGTGTCCCAGTGAGAAGGGGCTGGGTTTTGAGTGATGCAGAGATCTTATTGTAGGTGGGGGTAGGGGGTAGGGGTAGGAGGACAGGGCACATGCGCACTCAGTATCCTGACACTGAAATGATTCCGCACTCACCTTACTTCTGGAAATCTGGAACTCCAATCCAGGTCCTCACCTATGCTAGATAGTATTCTACCTCTGATCCACCCCTTTCCTTCTGTTTTTTAATCTTTTATTCTGCATGAGTGATTCTGGAGTTTCTGCTCCTTCTAAAACTATGGTTTTTTCATTCTCAATGATGCAGATTCACCAGTGATAGACTAGTAATTTGCAAGGACTGACTTTGTTTTGCTCAGCATAACAGTTTCATTAGTGTATAATTTGCATACTCTGCAATTCACTTACTTAAGGTATACAGTCAGAGTGCTTCAGTATCCTGAGTTAAATCTTGCTAATTCTGGAAAAAAAACTTGTGCCAGTAGCAGTTACTCCTCACTATTCACCCTGCACTCAGTCATAGATAGGCATTCTGGAATCTTCCATCTTTAAATAGAAGGAAGATTCCACTCATCTGAGTAGAATCATACAAAGTCTATTGAGGCTGTAGCATGTGTCATCACCAATTCTTTTTAACTGCCAAATAATGTTCCATTGTATGGATGTGTCACATTTTATTCATTAATCAACGGATAGATATTTAGGTTATCTCCACTTTGGGGTTTTTATGAATAATACTGTTAGGAAATTTTTGTACAGATTTTTAGTGTGGATGTTTCTCTGGTATATATTCTAAATATGAATTTCCAGGTTAACCTTTTGAGGACCAAAGTACAGAGTGGTTTCATATTTATACCAGCAGTATATGAGGCTTTCTCCATATCCTCATACACATTTGTTGTGGGTTGTGTTTTTTAGTTTGCTCATCCAAATGTGCATTTCCCTGGTGCCTGGCAACTATTCTTTGACATACTATTCATTGTCTATCAATTCATTTGTCCTTCCCCACATGTCAGCTACTACTTGTGCATTTTACACCAAGATGACTTCTGGTCTGGGAGAGTAGACCAGCAATTTGTATGTTCCTTAAAGAAATAGGAAGGATCACATCTTAATACAAGATGACCAGGGACCAGAGCAAGCAGCTATCCAGAATGTGCAGTAGCTAACATTCGGGTGCCATCTGAGGAAACTGAGGTATTAGAAATTTCTACAGGAAATATAGCCTCTAGAAAAACCACTTGGCTCTATGTCCTGGCTCTGGTACCAGCTCACTGTGTATCTATCTATCTATCTATTTTTGTGCTGGTAATAGCACTTGAACTCAGGGCCTTGAACTATTGCTCTACTTCTGGCTTTTTGGTAGTTTTTATTGGAGATAATAGTCTCACAGACTTTCCTGCAGGGCTGGCTTCGATCTGAGATCCTCAGATCTTAGACTCCTGAGTATTTAGGATTAGAGGTATGAGCCATCAGCATCCAGCTGATATCTTTAAGCAACCCATTCAACCCTTCAGAGAATGAAGTCTTCTTAGTTGTAAGATGAGGTATAATGGTATCTGTGAGTCTCTTATGTATGTCCATAACTGCTGAGTATTGAGTCAATCCTTGTTTCTTAGCCTGTCTTCACCTTTATAAAATATGAAGTTTGGATTCATTAGTCTCTAAGAAATGTTGGAATTCTAAAATGTATTCCTTTGTGTTTAAAAAAAACTGAACATATCTACTGTAGGTCAAATTTTAGACTTATGTTGATAAAATCCTGCTCCAGTGGGCCTGCCTGCCTGCCTGCCTGCCTGCCTGCCTGCCCGCCCACCCGCCTGCCCACCTGCCTCCCTGCCTGCCTGCCTGCCTGCCTGCCTGCCTGCCTGCCTGCCTGCCTGCCTGCCTCCCTCCCTGCCTGCCCGCCTGCCCGCCTGCCCACCTGTCTACCTGTCTCCCTGCCTGCCTGCCTGCCTGCCTGCCTGCCTGCCTGCCTGCTTGTAGAAGCAGCAGGCCCTCCAGTTGGCCAAAGTCCTTGACTTCTTTTTTTTCATCAGTAGAGACTGAACTCAGGGCTCTGGGCTTGCTGAGAGAACAAACATCCTACCATTTGACCTATGTCCCCACCTTTTGTTTTTATTTTGCTTTTGAGGCAGGATCTCTACTTCCCAGGCTGGTTTCTAACTTGTGATCCTTTCGCCTAAGTCTGCAGACTCTGAAATTATAGGTCCCTTCCTTCCCCCAACACTTTTTAAGCCTTCTATTATTACATTATTTAAAAAAAACAAAACCAAACATTTCTTAACAGCCTCAGTTTCCACTTCATTTTTCTCCTGAGACACACAAAGCAACGGTCACGGATGTTTGCTCTTCATCTTTCATGCCAAGCAGTTTCACTTTCCTCTCTTCAGTGTGCACGTATGTGTGTACTTGTTTATTTTCCACGAAACCCTAACTTTTCACCTGACTCTATGTGGACAAACAGCTACCCAGCAGCCAGAATTCCCGCCTCCGTTAATAAGAGCCATCATTGTATGTTTAGATGATATTCCTGCAGTGGAACTGAATCTTTATAGATGTTTCACTTGCCAAACCTAGCTCAAGTGGTGGAGTGCTTGTCTGGCAAGCTCAAGGCCAGGAATGGCTCAGCAGGATCAGATGGTAGTTCTGTTTTTAGTGCTTTAAGGAATCTCCTTTCTAATGTCTATAGTGCCTATAGTAATTTACCTTCCCATAAATACTGATATTGGTTCTTTCTTCCCATGATGCTCACCCACATTTGTTATTTTCTTGATGTTTATCATTCTGAGGGAGGAGAGATTGAATCCCAGTGTCATTTTAACTTTTCATTTCCTTTATGGCTGA